AGTGTCCATACTGACAGGGCTGTCTGACAGAGTGTCCATACTGACAGGGCTGTCTGACAGAGTGTCCATACTGACAGGGCTGTCTGACAGAGTGTCCATACTGACAGGGCTGTCTGACAGAGTGTCCATACTCTACCAGCTAGACTGACAGGGCTGTCTGACAGAGTGTCCATACTCTATGACAGAGTGTCCATACTCTACCAGCTACACTGACAGGGCTGTCTGACAGAGTGTCCATACTCTACCAGCTACACTGACAGGGCTGTCTGACAGAGTGTCCATACTCTACCAGCTAGACTGACAGGGCTGTCTGACAGAGTGTCCATACTGACAGGGCTGTCTGACAGAGTGTCCATACTGACAGGGCTGTCTGACAGAGTGTCCATACTGACAGGGCTGTCTGACAGAGTGTCCATACTGACAGGGCTTTCTGACAGAGTGTCCATACTGACAGGGCTGTCTGACAGAGTGTCCATACTGACAGGGCTGTCTGACAGAGTGTCCATACTGACAGGGCTGTCTGACAGAGTGTCCATACTGACAGGGCTGTCTGACAGAGTGTCCATACTCTACCAGCTAGACTGACAGGGCTGTCTGACAGAGTGTCCATACTCTATGACAGAGTGTCCATACTCTACCAGCTACACTGACAGGGCTGTCTGACAGAGTGTCCATACTCTACCAGCTACACTGACAGGGCTGTCTGACAGAGTGTCCATACTCTACCAGCTACACTGACAGGGCTGTCTGACAGAGTGTCCATACTGACAGGGCTGTCTGACAGAGTGTCCATACTGACAGGGCTGTCTGACAGAGTGTCCATACTGACAGGGCTGTCTGACAGAGTGTCCATACTGACAGGGCTGTCTGACAGAGTGTCCATACTGACAGGGCTGTCTGACAGAGAACTGACAGGGCTGTCCTGACAGAGTTGTCCATACTGACAGGGCTGTCTGACCAGAGTGGTCCATACTGGACAGGGCTGTCTGACAGAGTGTCCATACTGACCGGGCTGTCTGACCAGAGTGTCCATACTGACAGGGCTGTCTGAAACAGAGTGTCCATACTGAACAGGGCTGTCTGACCAGAGGTCCAACTGGAAGGGCGGTCGCAGAGATGTCCATACTGACAGTGGCTGTCTGACCAGAGTGTCCATACTGACAGGGCTGTCCTGGACCGATTGTACCATACTGACAGTGGCTTGTCTGAACCAGAGTGGTCCACTACTGACAGGGCTGTCTGACAGAGTGTCCATACTGACAGGGCTGTCTGACAGAGTGTCCATACTGACAGGGCTGTCTACCAGAGTGTCCATATGACTCTGTATTTCTACAGTATAATTTCATCTAGACATGCTGTATCTGTGTTCATACTTTCTCAACAGCTTGAATATGTTTGTCTGTGGACTTGTATAGTCATGTAACCATTAGCGCTAGCAACAAGCTCCCCACATCCACTGCAGTACACAGATACTGTAACATGACATAGGAAAATGCTTCGTTCAATATTGGAAATTGACAACATCTCATGCACATTAGCTAGTAAACCAAAGATAGTTTATAGCTTTGGTCAAAACGACTTTCAGTTGCAGCAGCCTGGGCTGTCCAATGCCTCTCAGCTGTTTCTGTAGTTGGTGAAAAGTACATTTTGACATTACATTTACATTTACATCATTTACATTTACATTTACATTTACGTCATTTACATTTACATTTACATTTACGTCATTTAGCAGTTGGTGCATTCACCTTATAGCCAGTGGGATAACCACTTTACAATATGTTATTCATTTTAATTTTTAATTTTTTTGGGGGTGGGGTAAGGGGGACACATATGTTGGCTAAACTAAAGAACAAATGTCAACCTGCATATGAAACATGAAATAAATATATCAATATATTACATGTGAACGCAAGCTTGTTCATACTTTAGCAATGAAAGCTATTTTGCAAATTACAAGTGGTCAATTCATTATTGTATAAAGAAGACGAGCACATTCATGGTTTAGTTTTTATTTAAATAAAAAGCTTGCTGTACGCTCAGTGCTCTGTTGATATTTCACAGAAATGCACTTGTTTTTGTGAGAAATCTTCAGAAAATAATCGGAATTTCGCACTTTAATGAAAAGGCTATGCTAAAATATGAAAATACTACATCATGTATTAAAAATATAGTTTTATGTCCTCCGGATTGGAGAAGAAAGATGAGTTAAACGGGAACGTGAGCCTGTCACCCAGCATAGCTGACACCGTGCTGTGCAATGTTCCTGATTGTTGACCCCTTTGTTCTCTGGCCTCAAGTCAAAGACTCCAGCCACCCAAGTCATAGACTGTTCTCTCTGCTACCGCACGACAAGCGGTACCGGAGCGCCAAGTCTAGGTCCAAAAGGCTTCTCAACAGCTTCTACCCCCAAGCCATAAGACTCCTGAACAGCTAATCATGGCTACCTGGACTATTTGCATTGCCCCCCCACCCCATCTTTTACACTGCTGCTACACTCTGTTTATGATTTATGCAAAGTCACTTTAACTCTGCCCACATGTACATATTACCTCAACTACCTCGACTAACCGGTGTCCCTGCACATTGTACCGGTACCCCCCTGTATATAGCCTCCCTACTGTTATTTTATTTTACTGCTGCTCTTTAATTATTTGCTATTTTTACTTTTTTACTTTTTTACTTATCGATTGTTTACTTAACACTTTTTTTTTTCTTCGTAAAACTGCATTGTTGGTTAAGGGCTTGTCAGTAAGCATTTCACTGTAAGGTCTACACCTGTTGTATTCGGCGCATGTGGCAAATAAAATTACATTAGATTTAATTTTATTTTCTCCTTATAGCCTCGTTATTGTTATTTTATTATATTATATATATATATATATATTATATTTCCTTTATTTAAAAATTTTTGCTAATCTTTTCTTACTTTTTAACTCTGCATTGTTGGGAAAGGGCTTGTAAGTAAGCATTTCACTGTAAATTGTACACCTGTTGTATTTGGCAAATGTGACAAATAAAAATGTTATTTGTTTGATTGATTTGACTAGCTAGATATAAGGTTTGATTTATAGATGGGTTAGCTGACAACGTCACGAAAACAATGTTCACACGTGTTGTGATTCTAGATGGCCAGATTGCTAGCAAGAATGACAAGAAACTAACGTGGGGAATCTTAAGTGACTCGTTTCAGCTTGTTTCATCTTGTTATTGATATTCTGTCTTGTTTTGAGATGTTTTTACTGATTTCATGTTAATGCTAATATGGCTAACATGTGATAGCTAGCTAACCAATAACTGTAAAGATGTATTATAGTGCTCATTGTGCAAATGTTTTTATGTTTTCAATAAACATTGGCCACGAAATATATCTTACATGTTGTCAACAGTCTAAGCCAACCCGTCTGTTTTGCCCCAGGGTTGTGCACACGTCGCTTCTGTTGCTAAACAACCAACCCGTCTATAGCAGAGAGGAATCATAAAGAAATGTTGCTAAGCTAACATTAGTTTTGACGTTTGAGTGCGCCCAATGTTACGGTCCATCAGTTCCCCAAGTAGCTATACACTCCATCCGGTCACCCTGGTCTTTCCACAACCTTCATCCAACTCCGTTTTGGAAACCAAACTTGTTTTTTTAGCAGATAATTGCTGTCTGTCTGCTGTTGACAGCATAGTTGGTGAAACTGTTTTTTGTAGCTAATGTCGTCCATGCTTGTTGTGGCTGTGACTGTCTGGGGTCCTGATGTCGTCCATGCTTGTTGTGGCTGTGACTGTCTGGGGTCCTGATGTCGTCCATGCTTGTTGTGGCTGTGACTGTCTGGGGTCCTGATGTCGTCCATGCTTGTTGTGGCTGTGACTGTCTGGGGTCCTGATGTCGTCCATGCTTGTTGTGGCTGTGACTGTCTGGGGTCCTGATGTCGTCCATGCTTGTTGTGGCTGTGACTGTCTGGGGTCCTGATGTCGTCCATGCTTGTTGTGGCTGTGACTGTCTGGGGTCCTGATGTCGTCCATGCTTGTTGTGGCTGTGACTGTCTGGGGTCCTGATGTCGTCCATGCTTGTTGTGGCTGTGACTGTCTGGGGTCCTGGGAGAAGCACGTGTCCACGCCTCTTACGTAACAGGCCACGTTTGCCAGATCGTACTAGACCACTGTTCTTCCAGCAGCTGCCAGAAAGGCAACACTGGGGTCTAAAGTTATCATGTCATCTTCAAAGCATTTTATTCTCTGATCCATTTAGAGCTATTGTTCCAAACCTTTCATGTCATTGTCACAGAACCAATTTACTGCCCGAGCTCTAATGCCTTTTGGTCTTTTGTTCTTCCCATAGAGAGAGGAGTGTTAATGTTCTTCTGTTATTCCCATAGAGAGAGGAGTGTTAATGTTCTTCCCATAGAGAGAGGAGTGTTAATGTTCTTCTGTTCTTCCCATAGAGAGAGGAGTGTTAATGTTCTTCTGTTCTTCCCATAGAGAGAGCAGTGTTAATGTTCTTCTGTTCTTCCCATAGAGAGAGGAGTGTTAATGTTCTTCCCATAGAGAGAGGAGTGTTAATGTTCTTCTGTTCTTCCCATAGAGAGAGGAGTGTTAATGTTCTTCTGTTCTTCCCATAGAGAGAGGAGTGTTAATGTTCTTCTGTTCTTCCCATAGAGAGAGGAGTGTTAATGTTCTTCCCATAGAGAGAGGAGTGTTAATGTTCTTCTGTTCTTCCCATAGAGAGAGGAGTGTTAATGTTCTTCTGTTCTTCCCATAGAGAGAGGAGTGTTAATGTTCTTCTGTTCTTCCCATAGAGAGAGGAGTGTTAATGTTCTTCTGTTCTTCCCATAGAGAGAGGAGTGTTAATGTTCTTCCCATAGAGAGAGGAGTGTTAATGTTCTTCTGTTCTTCCCATAGAGAGAGGAGTGTTAATGTTCTTCTGTTCTTCCCATAGAGAGAGGAGTGTTAATGTTCTTCTGTTCTTCCCATAGAGAGAGGAGTGTTAATGTTCTTCTGTTCTTCCCATAGAGAGAGGAGTGAGGTCTGTCAGCAGCAGTCCTGAGGCCACGCCCCCGTATGGCTACCAGCTAGACTTGGACTTCCTGAAGTATGTGGACGACATACAGAGCGGCAACACCATCAAGAGGCTGAACATCCAGCGGAGAGCCAGGCCAGTCCGGCCGGCGGCGGAGCCCGTGCCCAGGGCAGGTAGCTCTGGTGGAGGCAGCTGGTACAGAGGGCAGGGCCAAGCTGAATGGACCTCCACCGACTCCCTGCCCTCCTCCTGTGAAGAGACACAGCAGAGTCCCCTCTTCTACCCCACCCCCCGCCCCTTCCCCCAGCCTCACCCTCCCCTCTCCCCCACCCTGATTTACCACGCCCCTCTCCCGCCCTGTGAGCCCCCCCCTCCCCTTCCTCCCCTATCGCCTGAGGGCTACCTGAGCATCCCCCCCGAACACCCCCAACGGCCCCAGCTCCCGCCCCCCTCACTGCGGGAGCCGCCCCTCCTCAACCCCCAGGTTGAGAAGACCCTGATGGAGACGAGGAGGAGGTTAGAACAGGAGCGCCACCTCATGCAGCCCCCGTCCCCCTCCGACCCCCCCGGACCTGCTCCTCGCCTCCGCCTGGCGTCCTTCGGGGGGATGGGGGGGTCCAGCTCCTCCCTGTTCTCCCTTAGCGCCCCCCACCCCCACCCTCTGCTGCCCAATGGGGGTGGGGGTAGTGGAGACTACAACCCCTACTACACGTTCATGGGTTCCTCTATCCACCACAGCCCCATGTCCTCAGGCATGACCACACCGACCACCAACGTGTCTCCGCTCCACCTGCAGCACATCCGGGAGCAGATGGTGGTGGCCCTGCGGAGGCTGAAGGAGCTAGAGGAGAAGGTGCAGACCATACCTGTCCTGCAGGTGAAGATAGCTGTGCTGCAGGAGGAGAAGAGACAGATGACCTCTCAGAAGAACCAGAGGCTGGGGACGGGGGGCGTAGCGGAGGGAGGGTTCAGGAAGAGGTCCTATAGCGTGGGCAGTGCTGACCAGTTGGCCGACCAGCTGGACACCCAGAGACACACCCTGCAGACCCAGGAGCTGCACATCATGGAGCCAGATGGCCAGGAGGGTCAGGGCCATAGTCAGAGCTCCCAGGGGATGGAGGAGTTCAGGAGGCTGGCTGCAGAGGTCCAAGCCCTGGGGGAGAACGGCCAGGAGCAGACCCAGACCTCTCTCCCCCTCACCCACAATAACAACAACCAGCTCACCTCCACGGCGGTCGGCCCAGATGAGAACATGAACGACGTCACGGTGGTCGCCCAGAAGAAGTCGCCGGTGATGACGACGGTACAACAACGACGCTTCTACCGTGACGTCGGCATGGCGACAGAGCAGCGTGAGACGCGCAGCGCTGGGACGGGAGTGACGGAGGCCTTGTTGGGTGTGACCAGCGAGGTGGAGGCAGAGCTGGAGCTGCAGCAGCAGACCATCGAGGGCCTGAAGGAGAAGATCTACCGGCTAGAGGTGGACCTGAGAGAGACCACCCACCTGATGGAGATGTCCAAGCTGAAGCTGGAGCTGCAGGCCGCTGGGGGAGCCAATAGGAAGAGGGCTGATAAAGGCTGCCAGGCGCGGCCAGACACCTACAGCACGGCCTGCGAGGCACGGCCAGACACCCAGAGCACTGGCTCAGTGACCAGGAGAGTCCAGACACACTGCCAGGGAGTGGGGAACCACATAGAGACCAGCCATGCCTCCACAGGGGTGGCTGGGGTGTCCTGTCAACCCAGCCTGAGAGACACTGCTTCGGGACCTGACCTGCCCGTGGAGAGGTGGTTGGTGCAGGAGAGGGTAGAGGTGCAGGACCAGTGTGTGGGGAGCCAGGTGGAGGTGTGTGACCAGGGGGTGAACACTGATGAGGCCAGGGAGAGGAGGTCAGTCCAGGAGACTGAGGCCAGGGAGAGCAGGTCGGTGGGCGTTGGGGAGTGTTCTATAGACGTCACTGTTTCTCCCATCAGACAGCTGGTTACCATGGGGACTAACCCTGTCCTGGGCGCCACCACGGACTCTGCTGTCATGGTAACCCCAGACACAGCCTCCCAACACACCAGCACCCAACTGGAGACCGCTAGCCAACACACCAACACAGAGACAGTGGTGCTAGCTGACGGCTGTACCAACACCGCCCTGCTCCACACTGCTGAGAAACACACCAGCACGCTAACCAATCACACCAGGACTGTCGCTGTGGGGGAGGGGCTGGTCAAAGACCCACAGACCGTGCCCAAAACCAGGTACTTTTTGAATTGGATTCATTTAACAATTTAACAACACAATTTAACCACGTGGATATAATACAATGCATTTTTGAACAAATAAAAGTTATATAAACATGTTCTATTGTGGTTGTCCTTAGGTCTATTGCCGTGGGAAACTCAGCAGAGAGAGACGGCAGTCCGGAGAAGGCGTGGTCGGCCCAGACCAAAGAGGTGGGCGTAGGCCTGGTCGGCATCCACACCAACTTCCTGGTCGGCCTGAAGACCCGGAACATCGCCTGTGGGCCCTCCCACCTGGACGGAGCCGCTGTAACCGAGGAGACCATTGCCGTGACGACTGTTGTACCACCCCAGGCCCAGGGCATAGCACCGCCCCAGCAGGTGGAGGGGCTGGAGCAGGCCATAGCACCGCCCCAGCAGGTGGAGGGGCTGAACCAGGCCCAGGCCATAGCACCGCCCCAGCAGGTGGAGGGGCTGGAGCAGGCCATAGCACCGCCCCAGCAGGTGGAGGGGCTGAACCACTACATAGAGAGGCTTCAGAAGCTACTTCAGGAACAACAGATGCTGTTGACTGAGAACTACAGCGAGCTAGCGGACGCCTTCGGACAGCCCTGCTCTTCTCAGTTCAACCACTTCGGTTCTATCAACAGCCAGCTGGTCAACACTCTGACTTCTATCAACTCTGTCATGAAGTATGGCAGTGCTGAGGATCTGAGAACACAGCAAGATAGCAGCAGCACCACTACAGGTAGGACACATTAGTCTGGCATATTAGTATTTTCACACAGAATGGCACGTCTAATAGGTCATTACACCAGGCCATTGTTGTGTTCTTTGGTCTCTAGCCAGACAGACCATTTATCTACTGTTAGCCCGCTCTCTCTTCTCTCTCTCTGGTTAGTATTGACCTAGCCCTAACAATAGGATATCTCTGTTAACAGACCTGAAGAACCAACACAGCCCAGTTGGAACATTACTGCTGTACTTTATACTAGACTATTTATTATCACGTTTTAGTAGGTTAAGAATTCTTACAGGATAGTGCAGCCTCAACATTTAGCAGACGCTCTTATCCAGAGCAACTTACAGTAGTGAATGAATACATTTTCGTACTGATCCCCCGTGGGAATCGAACCCACAACCCAAGACAGCATCACCAAAATCATTACTGTCCCTCACAACACTAAAGACCTGGTGACACTTTGCATTTGTATTTGTATTTGTATTTATTATGGATCCCCATTAGTTCCTGCCAAGGCAGCAGCTACTCTTCCTGGGGTTTATTATGGATCCCCATTAGTTCCTGCCAAGGCAGCAGCTACTCTTCCTGGGGTTTATTATGGATCCCCATTAGTTCCTGCCAAGGCAGCAGCTACTCTTCCTGGGGTTTATTATGGATCCCCATTAGTTGATGCCAAGGCAGCAGCTACTCTTCCTGGGGTTTATTATGGATCCCCATTAGTTCCTGCCAAGGCAGCAGCTACTCTTCCTGGGGTTTATTATGGATCCCCATTAGTTCCTGCCAAGGCAGCAGCTACTCTTCCTGGGGTTTATTATGGATCCCCATTAGTTCCTGCCAAGGCAGCAGCTACTCTTCCTGGGGTTTATTATGGATCCCCATTAGTTCCTGCCAAGGCAGCGGCTACTCTTCCTGGGGTTTATTATGGATCCCCATTAGTTCCTGCCAAGGCAGCGGCTACTCTTCCTGGGGTTTATTATGGATCCCCATTAGTTCCTGCCAAGGCAGCAGTTACTCTTCCTGGGGTTTATTATGGATCCACATTAGTTCCTGCCAAGGCAGCAGCTACTCTTCCTGGGGTCCAGGAACCCCAAACTTCTCTTTCCATGATTCCGTCATCCCGTCTGAGTCTTCCAGAGCCCAGTTGGGTCATGCTCCGCTCCCATGTATCGAACGTCAAAGACGGATCCAAGATGGGCTCTGCCTGTACTGTGGAGGGAAAGATCATCTCATCTCTCTGTGGGGGGCGAACAGGGCAATGGCTGAGTAGAAGGGTCCCTCCGCTGCCATGCAGGTAGGCGGGTCTGTATTTCTAAATATCTCCCAGAAGCAATTCTCCATCCCATTATTGATAACCGTGAAGGGGGTTATGAAGTACGTAGAGGGCTTGATAGATTTGGGAGCAGCAGGTAGTTTTATCGATCCCCAGCTAGTACAAGAGCTTGACATTGATCTTACACCTGTCACTCTCCCTTAAGGATTAACGTCCTGGACGGCCAGCCATTGGGAATGGGCTTCATTACGCACCTGACACAGAGCGTCTCCCTCTTCCACACCGAAACCATTCAACTCATGGAACTCTCATCCCCCAAACAGCCACTCATCCTCGGACACCCCTGGCTTTGTCGTTACGACCCTGCCATCTGGTGGCGACAAGGTGAACTACTGTCCTGGTCTTCTGCCTGCTTCACCAGTTGTCTCAGCCTACCCTGCAGATCCACCACCATTGAGGACTCTGCCTCTGCAGTGCCACCCACCATACCATCTGAATACGCCCAGTACAGCAATGTCTTCAGCAAAATCAAGGCCTCCACTCTGCCACCACATCGCCCAGGGGACTGTGCTATTGACTTACCCCCTGGAGTGTCCCCACCGAAGGGCTGTGTTTAACCCCTATCTATCCCGGAAAATGAGGCAATGGAGAACTACATTGATGAAGCACTCAAACCGTTTCATTTGTCCTTCTTCTTCCCCGGCTGCGTCCAGCTTCTTCTTCGTTGGAAAACAGGACGATGGTCTCCGTCCATGTATTGATTACCGTTCCCTGAATGACGTTACGGTCAAGAACCGTTTCCCTCTTCCTCTGATCCCAGCGACCCTTGAACAAGTGGGCCACGCCAACATCTATACAAAACTCGACCTGCGGAGTGCATATAACCTTGTCCGTATACGTGAAGGTGACGAATGGAAGACGGCCTTTATCACCGCACGAGGGCACTATGAATACCTGGTCATGCCCTACGGCCTTACTAACGCCCCCGCCGTCTTCCAATCCTTTATGAATGAGGTTTTCCAGGATATGATCAACCGCTTTCTCATCGTCTGCATTGATGACATCCTGATTTACTCCCTGAAGGAACACATACAGCATGTACCAAGGGTTCTTCAACGGCTCCTTGACCATAACCTTTATGTGAAGACTGAAAAGAGCCCCTTCCATGTAACCTCGGTAAACTTCCTCGGTTTCGTACCGACACCTGGAGGGGTCAGCATGGATGAGAACAAAGTCACCGCCGTCAGTAACTGGCCCAAACCCACCACCGTCAGTAACTGGCCCAAACCCACCGCCGTCAGTAACTGGCCCAAACCCACCACCGTTAAGGAACTCCAACGTTTCATTGGGTTCTCCAACTTCTATCGCCGGTTCATTCGGAACTTCAGTTCTACTGCCGCTCCCCTCACTGCCCTTACCAGCCAAACGACCCGGACCCTTCAATGGACTGATACTGCACTGACTGCTTTCAACACCTTGAGACGCCTCTTCACCTCAGCTCCTGTCCTTCGCCAACCTGATCCGACCCTTCCTTTCACCCTGGAGGTGGATGCCTCCGAAGTAGGAGTAGGAGCCATACTCTCTCAGCGGGTGGGAACACCTCCAAAATCACATCCTTGTGCCTTCTTCTCCAGGAAGTTATCCCCCGCTGAGAGGAATTACAATGTGGGGAACAGAGAACTCCTCGCCATCAAGCTGGCCCTCGAGGAGTGGCGCCACTGGTTGGAGGGCGCACAACATCCCTTTCTCGTCCTGACAGATCATCGTAATCTGGAATATATCAGAGGGGCCAAGAGGTTAAACTCCAGACAAGCCCGCTAGGCTCTTCTTCACACGCTTCCATTTTCATGTTACTTACATCCCTGGAAAGAAAAACGTAAAAGCTGATGCTCTCTCCTGCCATTTTGACCTTCGACCAGTAACTCAGACCCTACACCCATCCTTCCTTCCTCCTGGGACCGGTACAGTGGGAGGTTCACTCTGCCATACAGGAAGCCCTAACCTCAGACCCGGCTCCTCCTGAGACACCAGCAGGGAAGAGTTACGTACCAGTAGCTGTTAGACCCCAACTGATGCAATGGTGTCACACATCCTTGGGGTCAGGTCATCCGGGCATTACACGAACCGCCGAACTTCTAGCCCGTAAGTTCTGGTGGTCCTCACTGGCATCCGACATCAGGGATTACGTACTCTCCTGTCCAGTCTGCGCCCAAACCAAAAGCCCTCGTCATCTCCCTTCCGGTAAGTATCAACCTTTGCCAATCCCTCACAGACCCTGGTCCCACATAGCTGTTGACTTCATCACAGACCTTCCTGAATTCTCTGGGAACACCACCATCCCATCACAGACCTTCCTGAATTCTCTGGTAACACCACCATCCTTGGTGCCACTCTGCGCGTGATCTGCACCCTTTTCTCCCTGAGTATTCATTACAACTGTGCGCCTCCGATAGTCTGTTCTGGACTTGGGGGCTGTGAATAGACCTCTGGTGGCATGTCTTGTGGGGTATGCATGGGTGTCCGAGCTGTGTGCCAGTAGTTCAAACAGACAGCTCGGTTCATTCAACATGTCAATATTTCTCACAAATACAAGTAGTGATGAAGTCAATCTCTCCTCCACTTTGAGCCAGGAGAGATTGATATGCATATTATTAATGTTAGCTCTCTGTGTAAATCCAAGGGCCGGCCGTGCTGCCCTGTTCTGAGACAATTGCAATTTTCCTAAGTTTCTCTTTGTGGCATCTGACCACCGATTTGATTTGATTAATGTTAGCTCTCCGTGTACTTTTAAGGGCCAGCCGTGCTGCCCTGTTCTGAGCCAACTGCAAAATTCCCAAGTCCCTCTTTGTGGCAACTGACCACACGACTGAACAGTAGTCCAGGTGCGACAAAACTAGAGCCTGTAGGACCTGCCTTGTTGACAGTGCTGTTAAGAATGCAGAGTAATGCTTTATTATGGACAGACTTCTCCCCATCTTAGCTACTGTTGTATCAATATGTTTTGACCATGACAGTTTAGAATCCAGGGTTACTCCAAGCAGTTTAGTCTCCTCGACTTGCTCGACCACATTTATTCATTACAATATTTAGTTGAGGTTTAGAATTTAGTGAATGATTTGTCCCAAATACAATGCTTTTAGTTATTGAAATATTTAGGACTAATTTATTCCTTGCCACCCATTCTTAACTGCAGCTCTTTGTTAAGTGTTGCAGTCATTTCAGTCGCTGTGGTAGCTGACATGTATAGTTTTTACTCAAGGCCAGTGGCATGTCATTAGTAAAGATTGAAAAAAGTAAGGGGCCTAGACATCTGCCCTGGGGAATTCCTGATTCTACCTGGATTATGTTGGAGAGGCTTCCATTAAAGAACACCCTCTGTGTTCTGTTAGACGGGTAACTCTGTATCCACAACATATCAGGGGGTGTAAAGCCATAACACATACGTTTTACCAGCAACAGACTATAATCGATAATGTCAAAAGCCGCACTGAAGTCTAACAAAAGAACCCCCACAATCTTTTTATCAATTTCTCTCAGCCAATCATCAGTCATTTGTGTAAGTGCTGTGCTTGTTGAATGTCCTTCCCTATAAGCGTGCTGAAAGACTGTTGTCAATTTGTTTACTGTAAAATAGCATTGTATCTGGTCATTTCAATTTTTTCCAATAGTTTACTAAGGGTTGGTAACAGGCTGATTGGTCGGCTGTTTGAGCCAGTAAGGAGGGCTTTACTATTCTTAGGTAGCAGAATGACTTTAGCTGCCCTCCAAGCCTGAGGGCACACACTTTCTATTAGGCTTAGATTGAAGATATGGCAAATAGGAGTGGCAATATCATCCACTATTATCCTCAGTAATTTTCCATCCAAGTTGTCAGACCCCGGTGGCTTGTCATTGTTGTTTGACAACAATATTTTTTCACCTCTTCCAAATGTACTTTATGGAATTCAAAATTACAATGCTTGTTTTTCATAAGTTGGTCAGATATATTTGGATGTGTAGTGTCAGCGTTTGTTGCTGGCATGTCATGCCTAAGTTTGCTAATCTTGCCAATGAAAAAAATCATTAAAGTAGTTGGCAATATCAGTGGGTTTTGTGATGAATGAGCCATCTGATTCAATGAATGGAGCGGAGTTTGCCTTTTTGCCCAGAATGTCATTTAAGGTGCTCCAAAGCTTTTTACCATCTTTCTTTATGTCATTTATCTTTGTTTCATAGTATAGTTTCTTCTTCTTTTTATTCAGTTTAGTCACATGATTTCTCAATTTGCAGTACGTTTGCCAAATCACTTCATCAAGACAATGCAGACAGAAAGAAAGAAAGACAGGGAGTCACACAGGGAGAGAAACAGACAGACAGGGAGAGGGGGTGTATACGGAACATTTCAAGAACTTTGAAAGTTTCTTCAAGTGCAGTCGCAAAAACCATCAAGTGCTATGAAGAAACTGGCTCTCATGAGGACCGCCACCACTAGAATGGAAGACCCAGAGTTCCTCTGCTGCAGAGGATAAGTTCATTAGAGTTACCAGCCTAAGAAATTGCAGCCCAAATAAATGCTTCACAGAGTTCAAGTAACAGACACATCTCAACATCAACTGTTCAGAGGAGACTGTGTGAATCAGGCCTTCATGGTCGAATTACTGCAAAGAAACCACTACTAAAGGACACCAATAAGAAGAAGAGACCTGCTTGGGCCAAGAAACACGAGCAATGGACATTAGACCGGTGCGAATTTGTCCTTTGGTCTGGAGTCCAAATTTGAGATTTTTGGTTCCAACCGCCGTGTCTTTGTGAAATGCGGTGTGGTTGAACGGACGATCTCATGTGTATTTCCCACCGCAAAGCATGGAGGAGGTGTTATGGTGTGGGGGTGCTTTGCTGGTGACACTGTCTGTGATTTATTTAGAATTCAAGGCACACTTAACCAGCATGGCTACCACAGCATTCTACAGCGATACGCCATCCCATCTGGTTTGCGCTTAGTGGGACTATCATTTGTTTTTCAACAGGACAATGACCCAACACACCTCCAGGTTGTGTAAGAGCTATTTGACCAAGAAGGAGAGTGATGGAGTGCTGCCTCAGATGACCTGGCCTCCACAATCACCCGACCTCAACCAAATTGAGATGGTTTGGGATGAGTCGGACCGCAGAGTGAAGGAAAAGCAGCCCACAAGTGCTCAGCATATGTGGGAACTCCTTCAAGACTGTTGGAAAAGCATTCCAGGTGAAGCTGGTTGAGAGAATACCAAGAGTGTGCAAAGCTGTCATCAAGGCAAAGGGTGGCTATTTGAAGAATCTCAAATATAAAATATATTTTGATTTGTTTAACACTTTTTTCGTTACTACATGACTCCATATGTGTTATTTCATAGATTTGATGTCTTCACTATTATTCTACAGTGTAAAAAATAGTATAAAATAAAGATCAATCCTGGAATGACATCAAATAGATTTTTATTTTAACCTTTATTTTAACAGGGAAGACATATTGAGACTAGGTCTCTTTTTCAAATGCGTCCTGTATAATACAATTTAAATGTACAAAAACACAGTCATGGTAAGCACAAATAAAACATCATAAATCACCCCAAAAAACAGTTACATTCCTCTACAAATAAATCCCCAATCAATACTTTAAATTGCCCGAACGGCACCAGAACATCAAGATTAAATGTATTTTGAATTTTGTTCCAGCAATACAGTGCATTAAAGCTAAAAGCAGATTTATTTATTTGATTTAGAATTTTAAGACCCCTTGAAGTAAAAAAAAATATACTACATGGATCAACAGATAGTCCTTACTGCTATTAGCCCATACAAACACATTGAATAACAGATTCACTACATGGAACAACAGATAGTCCTTACTGCTATTAGCCCATACAAACACATTGAATAACAGATTCACTACATGGAACAACAGATAGTCCTTACTGCTATTAGCCCATACAAACGCATTGAATAACATATTCACTACATGGAACAACAGATAGTCCTTACTGCTATTAGCCCGTACAAACACATTGAATAACAGAATCACTACATGGAACAACAGATAGTCCTTACTGCTATTAGCCCATACAAACACATTGAATAACAGATTCACTACATGGAACAACAGATAGTCCTTACTGCTATTAGCCCATACAAACACATTGAATAACAGATTCACTACATGGAACAACAGATAGTCCTTACTGCTATTAGCCCATACAAACACATTGAATAACAGATTCACTACATGGAACAACAGATAGTCCTTACTGCTATTAGCCCATACAAACGCATTGAATAACATATTCACTACATGGAACAACAGATAGTCCTTACTGCTATTAGCCCATACAAACACATTGAATAACAGATTCACTACATGGAACAACAGATAGTCCTTACTGCTATTAGCCCATACAAACACATTGAATAACAGATTCACTACATGGAACAACAGATAGTCCTTACTGCTATTAGCCCATACAAACACATTGAATAACAGATTCACTACATGGAACAACAGATAGTCCCCCCCCCCAACAAATCTAAAGGAAGTTTGTTCTGAAGTGTCTGTCCTATCTACATCTGAGAGATATTAGAAAGATCATGAAACTTTTGTAAAAAAACAATTGACAGGTATTTCACCTTATTTTTGGCACTAAACAGTCTCCATGGATACTTCCATTCATTTTTTCAACTGGTACCGGTGGACCTTCAGACGAGTCGTGTCAGGCCTGTTGGCGTCCTAGAGGCCTGTTGGTGTCCTAGAGGCCTGTTGGCGTCCTAGAGGCCTGTTGGCGTCCTAGAGGCCTGTTGGTCTCCTAGAGGCCTGTTGGCGTCCTAGAGGCCTGTTGGTCTCCTAGAGGCCTGTTGGTCTCCTAGAGGCCTGTTGGTGTCCTAGAGGCCTGTTGGCATCCTAGAGGCCTGTTGGCGTCCTAGAGGCCTTTTGGTGTCCTAGAGGCCTGTTGGTCTCCTAGAGGCCTGTTGGTGTCCTAGAGGCCTGTTGGCGTACTAGAGGCCTGTTGGCGTACTAGAGGCCTGTTGGCGTCCTAGAGGCCTGTTGGCGCTGTTGGCGTCCTAGAGGCCTGTTGGCGTCCTAGAGGCCTGTTGGCGTCCTAGAGGCCTGTTGGCGTCCTAGAGGCCTGTTGGTCTCCTAGAGAACTGTTGGCGTCCTAGAGGCCTGTTGGCCTCCTAGAGGCCTGTTGGTGTCCTAGAGGCCTGTTGGCGTCCTAGAGGCCTGTTGGTCTCCTAGAGGCCTGTTGGTCTCCTAGAGGCCTGTTGGCGTCCTAGAGGCCTGTTGGTCTCCTAGAGGCCTGTTGGCGTCCTAGAGGCCTGTTGGCGTCCTAGAGGCCTGTTGGTGTCCTAGAGGCCTGTTGGCGTCCTAGAGGCCTGTTGGTCTCCTAGAGGCCTGTTGGTCTCCTAGAGGCCTGTTGGCCTCCTAGAGGCCTGTTGGCGTCCTAGAGGCCTGTTGGTGTCCTAGAGGCCTGTTGGCGTCCTAGAGGCCTGTGACTGTTGGCGTCCTAGAGGCCTGTTGGCGTCCTAGAGGCCTGTTGGCGTCCTAGAGGCCTGTTGGTCTCCTAGAGGCCTGTTGGTCTCCTAGAGGCCTGTTGGTCTCCTAGAGGCCTGTTGGCGTCCTAGAGGCCTGTTGGTCTCCTAGAGGCCTGTTGGCGTCCTAGAGGCCTGTTGGTCTCCTAGAGGCCTGTTGGCGTCCTAGAGGCCTGTTGGCGTCCTAGAGGCCTGTTGGTCTCCTAGAGGCCTGTTGGCGTCCTAGAGGCCTGTTGGCGTCCTAGAGGCCTGTTGGTGTCCTAGAGGCCTGTTGGCGTCCTAGAGGCCTGTTGGCGTCCTAGAGGCCTGTTGGCGTCCTAGAGGCCTGTTGGTCTCCTAGAGGCCTGTTGGCGTCCTAGAGGCCTGTTGGCGTCCTAGAGGCCTGTTGGCGTCCTAGAGGCCTGTTGGCGTCCTAGAGGCCTGTTGGTCTCCTAGAGGCCTGTTGGTCTCCTAGAGGCCTGTTGGCCTCCTAGAGGCCTGTTGGCGTCCTAGAGGCCTGTTGGTGTCCTAGAGGCCTGTTGGCGTCCTAGAGGCCTGTTGGTCTCCTAGAGGCCTGTTGGTCTCCTAGAGGCCTGTTGGCCTCCTAGAGGCCTGTTGGCGTCCTAGAGGCCTGTTGGTGTCCTAGAGGCCTGTTGGCGTCCTAGAGGCCTGTGACTGTTGGCGTCCTAGAGGCCTGTTGGCGTCCTAGAGGCCTGTTGGCGTCCTAGAGGCCTGTTGGCGTCCTAGAGGCCTGTTGGTCTCCTAGAGGCCTGTTGGTCTCCTAGAGGCCTGTTGGTCTCCTAGAGGCCTGTTGGCGTCCTAGAGGCCTGTTGGTCTCCTAGAGGCCTGTTGGCGTCCTAGAGGCCTGTTGGTCTCCTAGAGGCCTGTTGGCGTCCTAGAGGCCTGTTGGCGTCCTAGAGGCCTGTTGGCGTCCTAGAGGCCTGTTGGTGTCCTAGAGGCCTGTTGGCGTCCTAGAGGCCTGTTGGTCTCCTAGAGGCCTGTTGGTCTCCTAGAGGCCTGTTGGCCTCCTAGAGGCCTGTTGGCGTCCTAGAGGCCTGTTGGTGTCCTAGAGGCCTGTTGGCGTCCTAGAGGCCTGTGACTGTTGGCGTCCTAGAGGCCTGTTGGCGTCCTAGAGGCCTGTTGGCGTCCTAGAGGCCTGTTGGTCTCCTAGAGGCCTGTTGGTCTCCTAGAGGCCTGTTGGTCTCCTAGAGGCCTGTTGGCGTCCTAGAGGCCTGTTGGTCTCCTAGAGGCCTGTTGGCGTCCTAGAGGCCTGTTGGTCTCCTAGAGGCCTGTTGGCGTCCTAGAGGCCTGTTGGCGTCCTAGAGGCCTGTTGGTCTCCTAGAGGCCTGTTGGCCTCCTAGAGGCCTGTTGGCGTCCTAGAGGCCTGTTGGTGTCCTAGAGGCCTGTTGGCGTCCTAGAGGCCTGTGACTGTTGGCGTCCTAGAGGCCTGTTGGCGTCCTAGAGGCCTGTTGGCGTCCTAGAGGCCTGTTGGTCTCCTAGAGGCCTGTTGGTCTCCTAGAGGCCTGTTGGCGTCCTAGAGGCCTGTTGGTCTCCTAGAGGCCTGTTGGCGTCCTAGAGGCCTGTTGGTCTCCTAGAGGCCTGTTGGCGTCCTAGAGGCCTGTTGGCGTCCTAGAGGCCTGTTGGTCTCCTAGAGGCCTGTTGGTGTCCTAGAGGCCTGTTGGCGTCCTAGAGGCCTGTTGGCCTGTTGTCTCCTAGAGGCCTGTTGGCGTCCTAGAGGCCTGTTGGCGTCCTAGAGGCCTGTTGGCGTCCTAGAGGCCTGTTGGCGTCCTAGAGGCCTGTTGGCGTCCTAGAGGCCTGTTGGCGTCCTAGAGGCCTGTTGGTCTCCTAGAGGCCTGTTGGCGTCCTAGGGCCTTTTGGTCTCCTAGAGGCCTGTTGGCGTCCTAGAGGCCTGTTGGGTCCTAGAGGCCTGTTGGTGTCCTAGAGGCCTGTTGGCGTCCTAGAGGCCTTTGGCCTCCTAAGCCTGTTGGCTCCTAGAGGCCTGTTGGCGTCCTAGAGGCCTGTTGGTCTCCTAGAGGCCTGTTGGCGTCCTAGAGGCCTTTGGCGTCCTAGAGGCCTGTTGGCGTCCTAGAGGGCTGTGGTCTCCTAGAGAACTTTGGGTCCTAGAGGCCTGTTGCCTCCTAGAGGCCTGTGGTGTCCTAGAGGCCTGTTGGCGTCCTAGAGGCCTGTTGGTCTCCTAGAGGCCTGTTGGTCTCCTAGAGGCCTGTTGGCGTCCTAGAGGCCTGTTGGTCTCCTAGAGGCCTGTTGGCGTCCTAGAGGCCTGTTGGCGTCCTAGAGGCCTGTTGGTGTCCTAGAGGCCTGTTGGCGTCCTAGAGGCCTGTTGGTCTCCTAGAGGCCTGTTGGTCTCCTAGAGGCCTGTTGGCCTCCTAGAGGCCTGTTGGCGTCCTAGAGGCCTGTTGGTGTCCTAGAGGCCTGTTGGCGTCCTAGAGGCCTGTTGGTCTCCTAGAGGCCTGTTGGTCTCCTAGAGGCCTGTTGGCCTCCTAGAGGCCTGTTGGCGTCCTAGAGGCCTGTTGGTGTCCTAGAGGCCTGTTGGCGTCCTAGAGGCCTGTGACTGTTGGCGTCCTAGAGGCCTGTTGGCGTCCTAGAGGCCTGTTGGCGTCCTAGAGGCCTGTTGGTCTCCTAGAGGCCTGTTGGTCTCCTAGAGGCCTGTTGGTCTCCTAGAGGCCTGTTGGCGTCCTAGAGGCCTGTTGGTCTCCTAGAGGCCTGTTGGCGTCCTAGAGGCCTGTTGGTCTCCTAGAGGCCTGTTGGCGTCCTAGAGGCCTGTTGGCGTCCTAGAGGCCTGTTGGTCTCCTAGAGGCCTGTTGGTGTCCTAGAGGCCTGTTGGCGTCCTAGAGGCCTGTTGGGCCTGTTGGTCTCCTAGAGGCCTGTTGGCGTCCTAGAGGCCTGTTGGCGTCCTAGAGGCCTGTTGGCGTCCTAGAGGCCTGTTGGCGTCCTAGAGGCCTGTTGGCGTCCTAGAGGCCTGTTGGTCTCCTAGAGGCCTGTTGGCGTCCTAGAGGCCTTTTGGTCTCCTAGAGGCCTGTTGGCGTCCTAGAGGCCTGTTGGTGTCCTAGAGGCCTGTTGGCGTCCTAGAGGCCTGTTGGCCTCCTAGAGGCCTGTTGGTCTCCTAGAGGCCTGTTGGCGTCCTAGAGGCCTGTTGGTCTCCTAGAGGCCTGTTGGCGTCCTAGAGGCCTGTTGGCGTCCTAGAGGCCTGTTGGTCTCCTAGAGGCCTGTTGGTCTCCTAGAGGCCTGTTGGTCTCCTAGAGGCCTGTTGGCGTCCTAGAGGCCTGTTGGTGTCCTAGACGCCTGTTGGTGTCCTAGAGGCCTGTTGGCGTCCTAGAGGCCTGTTGGCGTCCTAGAGGCCTGTTGGCGTCCTAGAGGCCTGTTGGTCTCCTAGAGGCCTGTTGGTCTCCTAGAGGCCTGTTGGCGTCCTAGAGGCCTGTTGGTCTCCTAGAGGCCTGTTGGCGTCCTAGAGGCCTGTTGGCCTCCTAGAGGCCTGTTGGCGTCCTAGAGGCCTGTTGGCGTCCTAGAGGCCTGTTGGTCTCCTAGAGGCCTGTTGGCGTCCTAGAGGCCTGTTGGCGTCCTAGAGGCCTGTTGGTCTCCTAGAGGCCTGTTGGTCTCCTAGAGGCCTGTTGGTCTCCTAGAGGCCTGTTGGCGTCCTAGAGGCCTGTTGGTCTCCTAGAGGCCTGTTGGCGTCCTAGAGGCCTGTTGGCGTCCTAGAGGCCTGTTGGTGTCCTAGAGGCCTGTTGGCATCCTAGAGGCCTGTTGGCGTCCTAGAGGCCTGTTGGCGTCCTAGAGGCCTGTTGGCTTCTAGAGGCCTGTTTGGCGTCCTAGAGGCCTGTTGGTCTCCTAGAGGCCTGTTGGCGTCCTAGAGGCCTGTTGCGTCCTAGAGCCTGTTGGCTCCTAGAGGCCTGTTGGCGTCCTAGAGGCCTTTGGCGTCCTAGAGGCCTGTTGGCGTCCTAGAGGCCTGTTTGCGTCCTAGAGGCCTGTTGGCGTCCTAGAGGCCTGTTGGCGTCCTAGAGGCCTGTTTGGCCGTCCTAGAGGCCTGTTGGCTCCTAGAGGCCTGTTGGCGTCCTAGAGGCCGTTGGCCTCCTAGAGGCCTGTTGGCGTCCTAGAGGCCTGTTGGCCTCCTAGAGGCCTGTTGGCGTCCTAGAGGCCTGTTGGCGTCCTAGAGGCCTGTTGGTCTCCTAGAGGCCTGTTGGTCTCCTAGAGACCTGTTGGCGTCCTAGAGGCCTGTTGGCGTCCTAGAGGCCTGTTGGTGTCCTAGAGGCCTGTTGGTGTCCTAGAGGCCTGTTGGCGTCCTAGAGGCCTGTTGGTCTCCTAGAGGCCTGTTGGTCTCCTAGAGGCCTGTTGGCGTCCTAGAGGCCTGTTGGTCTCCTAAGGCCTGTTGGTCTCCTAGAGGCCTGTTGGCGTCCTAGAGGCCTGTTGGCGTCCTAGAGGCCTGTTGGCGTCCTAGAGGCCTGTTGGTGCCTAGAGGCCTGTTGGCGTCCTAGAGGCCTGTTGGCGTCCTAGAGGCCTGTTGGCGTCCTAGAGGCCTGTTGGCGTCCTAGAGGCCTGTTTGGTCGTCCTAGAGGCCTGTTGGCTCCTAGAGGCCTGTTGGCGTCCTAGAGGCCTGTTGGCGTCCTAGAGGCCTGTTGGTCTCCTAGAGGCCTTTGGTCTCCTAGAGGCCTGTTGGCGTCCTAGAGGCCTGTTGGTCTCCTAGAGGCCTGTTGGCGTCCTAGAGGCCTGTTGGCGTCCTAGAGGCCTGTTGGTCTCCTAGAGGCCTGTTGGCGTCCTAGAGGCCTGTTGGTCTCCTAGAGGCCTGTTGGCGTCCTAGAGGCCTGTTGGCGTCCTAGAGGCCTGTTGGCGTCCTAGAGGCCTGTTGGCTCCTAGAGGCCTGTTGGTCTCCTAGAGGCCGTTGGCGTCCTAGAGGCCTGTTGGTGTCCTAGAGGCCTGTTGGTGTCCTAGAGGCCTGTTGGCTTCCTAGAGGCCTGTTGGCGTCCTAGAGGCCTGTTGGTCTCCTAGAGGCCTGTTGGTCTCCTAGAGGCCTGTTGGCGTCCTAGAGGCCTGTTGGTCGTCCTAGAGGCCTGTTGGCGTCCTAGAGGCCTGTTGGCTCCTAGAGGCCTGTTGGCGTCCTAGAGCCTGTTGGCGTCCTAGAGGCCTGTTGGCGTCCTAGAGGCCTGTTTGGTCTCCTAGAGGCCTGTTGGTCGTCCTAGAGGCCTGTTGGCGTCCTAGAGCCTGTTGGTCGTCCTAGAGGCCTGTTGGTCTCCTAGAGGCCTGTTGGCGTCCTAGAGGCCTGTTGGCGTCCTAGAGGCCTGTTGGTCTCCTAGAGCCTGTTGTCTCCTAGAGGCCTGTTGGCTCCTAGAGGCCTGTTGGTCTCCTAAGCCTGTTGGCGTCCTAGAGGCCTTGTGTTGGTCCTCCTAGAGGCTGTTGGCGTCCTAGAGGCCTGTTGGCGTCCTAGAGGCCTTTGGTCCTCCTGAGAGGCCTGTTGGCTCCTAGAGGCCTTTGGCGTCCTAGAGGCCTGTTGGCGTCCTAGAGGCCTGTTGGGCGTCCTAGAGGCCTGTTGGTCTCCTAGAGGCCTGTTGGCGTCCTAGAGGCCTGTTTGCTCCTAGAGCCGGTTGGCGTCCTAGAGGCCTGTTGGTCTCTAGAGGCCTGTTGGTCTCCTAGAGGCCTGTTGGCGTCCTAGAGGCCTGTTGGCGTCCTAGAGGCCTGTTGTTGGTCTCCTAGAGGGCCTGTTGGCGTCCTAGAGGCCTGTTGGGTCCTAGAGGCCTGTTGGCGTCCTAGAGGCCTGTTGGTCTCCTAGAGGCCTGTTGGCTCCTAGAGGCCTGTTGGCGTCCTAGAGGCCTGTTGGCGTCCTAGAGGCCTGTTGGTCTCCTAGAGGCCTGTTGGCGTCCTAGAGGCCTGTTGGCGTCCTAGAGGCCTGTTGGCTCCTAGAGGCCTGTTGGTCTCCTAGAGGCCTGTTGGCGTCCTAGAGGCCTGTTGGCTCCTAGAGGCCTGTTGGGTCCTAGAGGCCTGTTGGCTCCTAGAGGCCTGTTGGTCTCCTAGAGGCCTGTTGGCGTCCTAGAGGCCTGTTGGCGTCCTAGAGGCCTGTTGGTTCTCCTAGAGGCCTGTTGGCGTCCTAGAGGCCTGTTGGCGTCCTAGGGCCTGTTTGGTCTCCTAGAGGCCTGTTGGTCTCCTAGAGGCCTGTTGGCGTCCTAGAGGCCTGTTGGCGTCCTAGAGGCCTGTTGGCGTCCTAGAGGCCTGTTGGTCTCCTAGAGGCCTGTTGGTCTCCTAGAGGCCTGTTGGCGTCCTAGAGGCCTGTTGGCGTCCTAGAGGCCTGTTGGTCTCCTAGAGGCCTGTTGGCTCCTAGAGGCCTGTTGGCGTCCTAGAGGCCTGTTGGTTCCTAGAGGCCTGTTGGTTCCTAGAGGCCTGTTGGCGTCCTAGAGGCCTGTTGGTCGTCCTAGAGGCCTGTTGGCGTCCTAGAGGCCTGTTGGCGTCCTAGAGGCCTGTTGGTCTCCTAGAGGCCTGTTGGCGTCCTAGAGGCCTGTTGGTCTCCTAGAGGCCTGTTGGCGTCCTAGAGGCCTGTTGGTCTCCTAGAGGCCTGTTGGCGTCCTAGAGGCCTGTTGGCGTCCTAGAGGCCTGTTGGTCTCCTAGAGGCCTGTTGGTCTCCTAGAGGCCTGTTGGCGTCCTAGAGGCCTGTTGGTCTCCTAGAGGCCTGTTGGCGTCCTAGAGGCCTGTTGGCGTCCTAGAGGCCTGTTGGCTCCTAGAGGCCTGTTGCGTGCTCCTAGAGGCCTGTTGGTCTCCTAGAGGCCTGTTGGCGTCCTAGAGGCCTGTTGGTCGTCCTAGAGGCCTGTTGGCTCCTAGAGGCCTGTTGGTCTCCTAGAGGCCTGTTGGGTCCTAGAGGCCTGTTGGCGTCCTAGAGGCCTGTTGGCGTCCTAGAGGCCTGTTGGCGTCCTAGAGGCCTGTTGGTCCTAGAGCCTGTGCGCAGAGGCCTTTGGCGTCCTAGAGGCCTGTTGGCGTCCTAGAGCCTGTTGGTCTCCTAGAGGCCTGTTGGCGTCCTAGAGGCCTGTGTGGTCTCCTAGAGGCCTGTTGGCGTCCCTTTGAGGCCTGTTGGTCCTAGAGGCCTGTTGGCGTCCTAGAGGCCTGTTGGCTCCTAGAGGCCTGTTGGCTCTAGACCTTGAGGTCCAAGGCTCCTGGTGTTGGTCGTCCTAGAGGCCTGTTGGGCTGTCCTAGAGGCCTGTTGGTCTCCTAGAGGCCTGTTGGGTCCTAGAGGCCTGTTGGTCTCCTAGAGGCCTGTTGGCGTCCTAGAGGCCTGTTGGTCTGCCTAGAGGCCTGTTGGCGTCCTAGAGGCCTGTTGGTCTCCTAGAGGCCTGTTGGTTCCTAGAGGCCTGTTGGCGTCCTAGAGGCCTGTTGGCGTCCTAGAGGCCTGTTGGTCTCCTAGAGGCCTGTTGGTCTCCTAGAGGCCTGTTGGCGTCCTAGAGGCCTGTTGGTCTCCTAGAGGCCTGTTGGTCCTAGAGGCCTGTTGGCGTCCTAGAGGCCTGTTGGCGCCTAGAGGCCTGTTGTCTCCTAGAGGCCTGTTGGTCTCCTAGAGCCTGTTGCGCGTCTCCTAGAGGCCTGTTGGTCTCCTAGAGGCCTGTTGGCGTCCTAGAGGCCTGTTGGTCTCCTAGAGGCCTGTTGGTGTCCTAGAGGCCTGTTGGTCTCCTAGAGGCCTGTTGGCGTCCTAGAGGCCTGTTGGTCTCCTAGAGGCCTGTTGGGTCCTAGAGGCCTGTTGGTCTCCTAGAGGCCTGTTGGTTCCTAGAGGCCTGTTGGTCTCCTAGAGGCCTGTTGGCGTCCTAGAGGCCTGTTGGCTCCTAGAGGCCTGTTGGTCTCCTAGAGGCCTGTTGGTCTCCTAGAGGCCTGTTGGTCTCCTAGAGGCCTGTTGGTCTCCTAGAGGCCTGTTGGCGTCCTAGATGGCCTGTTGGCGTCCTAGAGGCCTGTTGGCGTCCTAGAGGCCTGTTGGCGTCCTAGAGGCCTGTTGGTCTCCTAGAGGCCTGTTGGTCTCCTAGAGGCCTGTTGGTGTCCTCAGAGGCCTGTTGGTTCCTAGAGGCCTGTTGGTCTCCTAGAGGCCTGTTGGTCTCCTAGAGGCCTGTTGCGTTGTCCTAGAGGCCTGTTGGTCTCCTAGAGGCCTGTTGGCGTCCTAGAGGCCTGTTGGTCTCCTAGAGGCCTTGTTGGTCTCCTAGAGGCCTGTTGGCGTCCTAAGGCCTGTTGGCGTCCTAGAGGCCTGTTGGTCTCCTAGAGGCCTGTTGGTCTACCTAGAGGCCTGTTGGCGTCCTAGAGGCCTGTTGGTCTCCTAGAGGCCTGTTGGCGTCCTAGAGGCCTGTTGGCTCCTAGGCTGTTGCCCTAGAGGCCTGTTGGCGTCCCTAGAGGCCTGTTGGTGTCCTAGAGGCCTGTTAGTCTCCTAGAGGCCTGTTGGCGTCCTAGAGGCCTGTTGGTCTCCTAGAGGCCTGTTGGTGTCCTAGAGGCCTGTTGGTCTCCTAGAGGCCTGTTGGTGTCCTAGAGGCCTGTTAGTTTACTAGAGGCCTGTTGGCTCCTAGAGGCCTGTTGGTCTCCTAGAGGCCTGTTGGCGTCCTAGAGGCCTGTTGGTCTCCTAGAGGCCTGTTGGCGTCCTAGAGGCCTGTTGGTCTCCTAGAGGCCTGTTGGTCTCCTAGAGGCCTGTTGGCGTCCTAGAGGCCTGTTGTTTCCTGGGCCTTGGTCTCCTAGAGGCCTGTTGGTGTCCTAGAGGCCTGTGGTCCCTAGAGGCCTGTTGGTGTCCTAGAGGCCTGTTGGTCTAGCAGGGCAGATATTTGACGAACTGACTTGTTGGAAAGGTGGCATCCTATGACGGTGCCACGTTGAAAGTCACTGAGCTCTTCAGTAAGGCCATTCTACTGCCAATGTTTGTCTATGGAGATCGCATGGCTGTGTGCTCGATTTTATACCTGTCAGCAACGGCAACAGGTGTGGCTGGAAAAAAAGGGCTGTCCACATACTTTTTTATACATAGTGTACAAGCCAAACAAGCTACTGCCATGTGTTCTGGGGTAATTTGACACTATTGGATCAGTGGTGGATCTGTGCTATGTAGTACCTTTCATCAGTCAGTATCCTCAGTGTTTCTGATGAACAGGCAGAACCAGGACTCAATGGACACTTGTTGTTTCTGTCTGAAGCTACAACTGATTTATGTAACGCTGGAATGGTAGCCTGGTAGCCATGTGCTGGGCATTCATGTCTAGAAGCTACTTGGTACCACTTGGGTGTGTGTTTCTGGAAGCTTCTTGGTACCACTTGGGTGTGTGGTAGAAGTGTAGTGCATGTCTCATAATCAGCCCACTTCTCCCTAGTGCTTGTTCACCTCGCTGCTTATAGACTCAGCTGATGGTGAATTCTAGAAGCAGGACATTCCAGTGTTTGTTGGTCAGAGGATGCTGAAGCCAAGTCTCTAACTGCTTCCAGGTCAGTAGCCACATAGAACCAGACAGATGGTCTCTGGAAGCAGATCAGAGAAATGAACTAGTCAGGTGTTCTACTCCTTAAAGACGGACTCCTGTTTTAGTGTTGTACTCTTTAACTGCCTCCTCTGAACACTTTTAAAAACAGACTCCTGTTTTAGTATTTCAGTGTTGTCCTCAGCTATTTCAAATTTTCATGTGTCCCCTTCTGTCTATATCTGTCCTCTTCCTGTGTCCCCTTCTGTCTATATCTGTCCTCTTCCTGTGTCCCCTTCTGTCTATATCTGTCCTCTTCCTGTGTCCCCTTCTGTCTATTCTGTCCTCTTCCTGGTCCCTCTGTCTTATCTTCTCATCTTCCTGTGTCCCCCTTGCTGTCTATATCTGTCCTCTTCCTGTGTCCCCTTCTGTCTATATCTGTCCTCTTCCTGTGTCCCCTTCTGTCTATATCTGTCCTCTTCCTGTGTCCCCTTCTGTCTATATCTGTCCTCTTCCTGTGTCCCCTTCTGTCTATATCTGTCCTCTTCCTGTGTCCCCTTCTGTCTATATCTGTCCTCTTCCTGTGTCCCCTTCTGTCTATATCTGTCCTCTTCCTGTGTCCCCTTCTGTCTATATCTGTCCTCTTCCTGTGTCCACTTCTGCATCTGAATCCTCCCCTCTTCTGTGATTGGTCCAGATCGGTGTCAGTTGCAGGTGTCCAGTGAAGTCATCCAGAGTTCAGAGGTCAGCCAGACGGAGATAGTGTCACATGACCCCAAGGCCCCGCCCAGCCCGGCCACGCTGAAGCATCGCATGGACCAGCAGATGTCCAGCGCCCTGAACGGTATGGAACTACTACCAATCTGGCAACACACAGAACTACTACCAATCTGGCAACACACAGAACTACTACCAATCTGGCAACACACAGAACTACTACCAATCTGGCAACACACAGAACTACTACCAATCTGGCAACACACAGAACTACTTCCAATCTGGCAACACACAGAACTACTTCCAATCTGGCAACACACAGAACTACTACCAATCTGGCAACACACAGAACTACTACCAATCTGGCAACACACAGAACTACTACTAATCTGACAACCAATGGAATTACTACTTATCTGGCAACACATAGAACTACTTCCAATCTGGCAACACACTCTTACACACAATACATTCCTCCTGCACGATACCGTGCCACGGCTGGACTGTCCCCCAATCTGGCAACGCTTCTCAGGCCCAGAACTACGGTGGGCCCTACTACTGAAAACAACCCAGGAGTTGCTAAACACACACAGTGGAAAACGGCAACAGCCCACAACCCCCCTTGTTTTGTGAGGTGTGTGCGGTGGTTGTGTGTCTGTCTATAGAACATGTAACACACAAACCCCCCCCCAGGTTGCTAGGTAACTCTTCTCTGGCGCTGGCTACCACCTGTCATAATATAGGAAGCACGCTGAGGGCTCTGACACCATCCAACACAACACACTTCCCCCCTGAAGCAGAGAAAGAGGCCCCTCCATCAGTCCTGGCAGTGTCTGCCGTGTTTTCCTCCACAGAGCTGAGAGGAGAGGGCTGAGGTCTGGTGGTGTTTGGCTCAGAGAGCTCTCAGCCGTCCTGGCAGTGTCTGCCGTGTTTTCCTCCACAGAGCTGAGAGGAGAGGGCTGAGGTCTGGTGGTATTTGGCTCAGAGAGCTCTCAGCCGTCCTGGCAGTGTCTGCCGTGTTTTCCTCCACAGAGCTGAGAGGAGAGGGCTGAGGTCTGGTGGTATTTGGCTCAGAGAGCTCTCAGCCGTCCTGGCAGTGTCTGCCGTGTTTTCCTCCACAGAGCTGAGAGGAGAGGGCTGAGGTCTGGTGGTATTTGGCTCAGAGAGCTCTCAGCCGTCCTGGCAGTGTCTGCCGTGTTTTCCTCCACAGAGCTGAGAGGAGAGGGCTGAGGTCTGGTGGTATTTGGCTCAGAGAGCTCTCAGCCAGGCCTGTATTTATAATGGCTGGAGCTTTAGGACTTGTTACCCTGCCACACAGACGCAGGGGTCACGTCCCAAAGGGAAACCCTATTCCCTATGTAGTGCACTACGTTTGACCAGGGCCCACAGGGCTCTATATAGGGAACAGGGTCCCATTTGGGATACAGAAACAGAATAATGGCTTTGGGAAAAACTGCTATAAAACACTCCTTCCTTTCTGTCTCCCTGTAGTCGTTTAGACCTAGTAGTTCACAGCCTTCTAACCAAGTCTACTGACAACAAGCGACTGAGGCTTTTCTGCAGTCGTTAGTTAGACAGAGCTGAGGGGACGGTTAAAGAGATAGCCATGCTAATCTACATGTTGAATATTCAGCATGTTGCGGCTTTAAAGGAACTGCCATCTTCAAACAGACAAGCTGACAATAATATCTCCTTTCTCCTGAAATCTGCCCTCATCCAGTACTTTCCACAAATCTAAAAGCTTTGGATTCAAATCAAATCAAACTTTATTTGTCACATGCTTGGTAAACACCAGGTGTAGAGTAACAGTGAAATGCTTCCTGACGGGCCCTTCCCAACAGAGAGAGAGTAATCAACAGGTGTAGAGTAACAGTGAAATGCTTCCTGACGGGCCCTTCCCAACAATGCAGAGAGAGAAATAGTAACACAAGGAATAAATCCACAATGAGTAACGATAACTTGGCTATTTACACGGGGTACCAGTACTGAGTCGATGTGCAGGGGTTTGAGGTAGATACGTATACATATGCTGTAGGTAGGGATAAAGTGACTAGGACTCCAACAGGATATACACTACCAGTCAAAAGTTTGGACACACCTACTCATTAAAGGGTTTTCCTTTATTTGTACTATTTTCTACATTGTAGAATAATAGTGAAGACATCAAAACTATGAAATAACACATATGGAATCATGTAGTAACCAAAAAAGTGTTAAACAAATCAAAATATATTTTATATTTGAGATTCTTCATATAGCCCCCCTTTGCCTTGATGACAGCTTTGCACACTCTTGGCATTCTCTCAACCAGCTTCATGAGGTAGTCACCTGGAATGCATTTCAATTAATAGGTGTGCCTTCTTTAAAGTTAATTTGTGGAATTTCTTTCCTTCTTAATGCGTTTGAGTCAATCAGTTGTGTTGTGACAAGGTGGGGGGGGGGGGGGGGGGGTATACAGAGGATAGCCCTATTTGGTAAAAGACCAAGTCCATATTATGGCAAGAACAGCTCAAATAAGCAAAGAGAAACGACAGTGTATCATTACTTTAAGACATGAAGGTCAGTCAATACGGAAAGTTTCAAGAACTTTTAAAGTTTCTTCAAGTGCAGTCGCAAAAACCATCAACTGCTGTGATGAAACTGGCTCTCATGAGGACAACCACAGGATGGAAGACCCAGAGTTACCTCTGCTGCAGAGGATAAGTTTATTAGAGTTACCAGCCTCAGAAATTGCAGCCCAAATAAATGCTCCCCAGAGTTCATTCTCTCTACTATTATTAAGACATTTCACATTCTTAAAATAAAGTGGTGATCCTAACTGACCTAAAACAGGGCATTTTTACTAGGATTAAATGTCAGGAATTGTGAAAAACTTAGTTTAAATGTATTTGGCTAAGGTGTATGTAAACTTCCGACTTCAACTGTATATAGAGGAAGAGAAGCTTAGGCCTAACCCCAGAGAGAGAGAGATATGCCAGTGGCAGAGGGGAGGGGGGGGGCCTGCCGTCATATCATAGGAGTTAGTTGGAGCCCCGGGGGGGGGGGGGGCGCCCTGCCGTCATATCACAGCCTGCAGTAGGTAAACCTTAATAATAGCCACACCATGCTAAACCTTCACAAACGTTTCTAAACTTTATCAGGGTAATATCAAAAGGAAGTCAAGTCATCGTTTATAGGGAAAATATGAGCAGAAGAGTGAATGTAAACCAGAGAAAGACCACACTACCCTCCCTGTGCCCCTAAAAAGACCACACTACCCTCCCTGTGCCCCTAAAAAGACCACACTACCCTCCCTGTGCCCATAAAAAGACCACACTACCCTTCATGTGCCCCTAAAAAGACCACACAACCCTCCATGTGCCCCCCAAAAGACCACACTACCCTCCCTGTGCCCCCAAAAAGACCACACTACCCTCCATGTGCCCCCAAAAAGACCACACAACCCTCCCTGTGCCCCTAAAAAGACCACACTACCCTCCCTGTGCCCCCAAAAGACCACACTACCCTCCCTGTGCCCCCAAAAAGACCACACAACCCTCCCTGTGCCCCCAAAAAGACCACACAACCCTCCCTGTGCCCCCAAAAAGACCACACTACCCTCCATGTGCCCCCAAAAAGACCACACAACCCTCCTTGTGCCCCTAAAAAGACCACACTACCCTCCCTGTGCCCCCAAAAAGACCACACAACTCTCCCTGTGCCCCCAGAAAGACCACACAACTCTCCCTGTGCCCCCAGAAAGACCACACAACCCTCCCTGTGCCCCCAAAAAGACCACACAACCCTCCCTGTGCCCCCAAAAAGACCACACAACCCTCCCTGTGCCCCTCAAAAAGACCACACTACCCTCCCTGTGCCCCCAAAAAGACCACACTACCCTCCCTGTGCCCCCAAAAAGACCACACAACCCTCCCTGTGCCCCCAAAAAGACTACACAACCCTCCCTGTGCCCCCAAAAAGACCACACTACCCTCCCTGTGCCCCCAAAAAGACCACACAACCCTCCCTGTGCCCCTAAAAAGACCACACTACCCTCCCTGTTGCCCCCAAAAAGACCACACTACCCTCCCTGTGCCCCCAAAAAGACCACACAACCCTCCCTGTGCCCCCAAAAAGACCACACTACCCTCCCTGTGCCCCCAAAAAGACCACACTACCCTCCCTGTGCCCCCAAAAAGACCACACAACTCTCCCTGTGCCCCCAGAAAGACCACACTACCCTCCCTGTGCCCCCCAAAAGACCACACAACCCTCCCTGTGCCCCCAGAAAGACCACACAACTCTCCCTGTGCCCCCAAAAAGACCATACTACTCTCCCTGTGCCCCCAAAAAGACCACATAACTCTCCCTGTGCCCCCAGAAAGACCACACAACTCTCCCTGTGCCCCCAGAAAGACCACACAACTCTCCCTGTGCCCCCAAAAAGACCACACTACTCTCCCTGTGCCCCCAGAAAGACCACACAACTCTCCCTGTGCCCCCAAAAAGACCACACAACTCTCCCTGTGCCCCCAGAAAGACCACACAACTCTCCCTGTGCCCCCAGAAAGACCACACAACTCTCCCTGTGCCCCCAGAAAGACCACACTACCCTTCCCAAAGCAAAATAATAAGTTTGATAACCCTCCCTTATTTTGGACCCCCCCTCCCCCAGTACATTTCAATCTGTCCGTTACTATCGATGTCTCCAAACAGATTTCACTTGGTTTCCCAAATGAAGCACTGGGTAGCTGGAGGAACAGGGTTGGAGAGCCCATGGCATACAGAGTACTGGGTAGCTGGAGGAACAGGGTTGGAGAGCCCATGGCATACAGAGTACTGGGTAGCTGGAGGAACAGGGTTGGAGAGCCCATGGCATACAGAGTACTGGGTAGCTGGAGGAACAGGGTTGGAGAGCCCATGGCATACAGAGTACTGGGTAGCTGGAGGAACAGGGTTGGAGAGCCCATGGCATACAGAGTACTGGGTAGCTGGAGGAACAGGGTTGGAGAGCCCATGGCATACAGAGTACTGGGTAGCTGGAGGAACAGGGTTGGAGAGCCCATGGCATACAGAGTACTGGGTAGCTGGAGGAACAGGGTTGGAGAGCCCATGGCATACAGAGTACTGGGTAGCTGCAGAACAGGGTTGGAGAGCCCATGGTATACAGAGTACTGGGTAGCTGGAGGAACAGGGTTGGAGAGCCCATGGCATACAGAGTACTGGGTAGCTGGAGGAACAGGGTTGGAGAGCCCATGGTATACAGAGTACTGGGTAGCTGGAGGAACAGGGTTGGAGAGCCCATGGTATACAAAGTACTGGGTAGCTGGAGGAACAGGGTTGGAGAGCCCATGGCATACAGAGTACTGGGTAGATACAGGAACAGGGTTGGAGAGCCCATGGCAGGGACAGGGTTGGAGAGCCCATGGTATACAGAGTACTGGGTAGCTGGAGGAACAGGGTTGGAGAGCCCATGGCATACAGAGTACTGGGTAGCTACAGGAACAGGGTTGGAGAGCCCATGGCATACAGAGTACTGGGTAGCTGGAGGAACAGGGTTGGAGAGCCCATGGCATACAGAGTACTGGGTAGCTGCAGAACAGGGTTGGAGAGCCCATGGTATACAGAGTACTGGGTAGCTGGAGGAACAGGGTTGGAGAGCCCATGGCATACAGAGTACTGGGTAGCTGGAGGAACAGGGTTGGAGAGCCCATGGCATACAGAGTACTGGGTAGCTGGAGGAACAGGGTTGGAGAGCCCATGGCATACAGAGTACTGGGTAGCTGGAGGAACAGGGTTGGAGAGCCCATGGCATACAGAGTACTGGGTAGCTGAAGGAACAGGGTTGGAGAGCCCGTGGCATACAGAGTTGTCCCCTGTAGCTCAGTTGGT